TCCAAGGCAATGTCCTCCACGAGTCCAGCCAGTGGCCTAGAGCCCACGGCAATGTCTCATGCAAGTCCGCATTGAGGATCTGCACCTGGAAGGTACAAAGGCCAGTGGTGGAAGCCAGAAAATCTATGCCAGTGGGATAAAGGATTTGTGCCACCAGGCTGAGGGATCTACATTGGAGCCAGAAAGTGATGCTCACGGTGAAGATCAGAGCTCCCCTGACGAGAACAGCAACCATTCCCAGTGACAGTGAGGCCCCAAGATCCTTCTCCAATGAGAACAGCCTAGTTTGCATCAGGAAAACCATCCACAGCAAGCTTCTCCTAGAAAATCAGCAGCCCTCAATCTTCCCCTCCAGTTCTTTTTTTATGGCTATTGGCAACAATCCTCAGGTGGATCTTCCACACCCAGACCACGCTGATTCAGTTCAGCTGAGCATTCCAAGTTGACCATTAGTTAATCCGCCACAGATTCCATCACTGAACCACCCAGAAATAGACCCGTCATCTACAGTCACCATTCCAATCTGGAACTTTTCTACTAACATGACATTTTGGTTTGTGCACAAGTCCACAGGAAAATCACTTGCCCATCTGTTTTCTCCTAACTTTGGTGTTTGCAGTCACTTCAACTCCATGTAATAACTTTGTATAAAGCACTTTTTCCAGTTTTATTGAGATCTTATTCACATATAATAAATATTTCACTTCACAGAGGAGGTCATGAATATTCCCAGATACTTCCAAGAGAAGCTTTGAGAAGTAAGCCTTTTGGAATACAAGTGGGCTGAGTGACACTCAGATTGAGTAGAAGTCAAAGCAAAAATGAACCACATTCACTGCTCTATCCTGCTTCTTAGAAAAGTGTGGGCATCATTAGAACCTGGACAAACTGGGTGTAGGCTTCTGGGATTTTTATTGGTTGGTCTTTGGTTGGGGGGGATTCTTTCTTTTACTTTTTTTCTGACAAGCACACAAAGTTGCACTGCCTTCTAGAAGAGATATTATCTCAAATTAGTAGGTCTATAAAAATAGGAAACCCTGGAGAACAGAGGAATTCCATTTTTTTACACACCCTTAACTCTTCTCTCTCTCCCTCTTTCTTTCTCTCTCTCTCTCTCTCCCCCTCTCTCTCTCCCTCTCCCCCTCCCCCTCCCTCCCACCCTCCCCAGTGCCAGGGATCAAACTCAGGACCTTGTGCTTGCCAGGCAGGCGTGGCACCACTGATCTAAATGCCCTCCCCCTTTATAGAGTATGATTTATAAGCTGATTTGAATATAGCAAACTCACAACCTTGTTAAATAGCAAAATAAGTAAAGCTCACAAAGAAAATGGATATGGGAAACTAATATTGGTATCATCAAAACACAATAAAGATTTAGAGGATTATATGAATTACTCTGCAGTTTACATTTAAATTCACAAAGGTAGTTTGTGATGGTTATGTCTAAATAAGTCATTAATGTCTTTTAATAAGTATTTATTGAGTAAGCATATTTGAATTTCATAACTATTATATATAAAGCAAGAAGCCAAGTTTAACCAACTTCAATTACTTTAATTTTAAATAATTTCAAATTAACAATTAGCTTTTAAAATTGAAGCAAGAGGGCCAAGGATTTATCTCAGTGGCACCACGCCTGCCTTGCAAGCACAAAGTCCTAAGTTTGATCAATAAAAAAAAAAAAAATGAAGCAAGAACAGAGATAATCCCTGCATATTATAATTGTTTCTATCCTTAGTGAAAAGTATTACCTTTACATATATGTGTATGTTTGGTACACACAGACACATATATAATGATGTAGCTTTTGTTTCTGTTGGAAAAAAATAAAATCATGCTCTGAAATTATTTCAAGAAAAGACAAATTTGTTACTGCCCCTGACATCGACACAAAATCTGCTAATCCACATGCTTTTCAGAATTTGCTGAGTTTCTAATTTGTGGCGGGGTGTACTTGAGGAACCAAAACCATCTATGTGTAAGACCAGTTTTACTTGTAGGTAGAATCAGTGATTTATTATTTCAACAAATATTAATTGAGCTCCTAATAGAGCCAGGCCCTATAGCATAACCCTGACAGGAGCTGTCCCAATCATCACAGGGATAGAGATATACAACAAGTAAACGCATAAATAGGCAGTATCACTGCAGGGAGTATAAGCGCTATGATGAGAAATACAGCAAAGGGGAAAGATAGGAAGTGGCCGAGTGGGTAGCTGACTTAATAGTACACTCAGAAGAGGTCTCTCTGAGGAAGCGATATTTGAGCAAATATTAAAATCGAATTGGAAAACAAGCCATAAGAGTATCTGGAGACTGTTTCTGGCAAAGGGAATTGCAAGTCCAAAGGCCTTGGAGTGAAAATAACCTTGATATACTGAAAAAACAGCAAGAAGCTAATGTGGCTGGTCCGGAGTGAGCAGAACATGGGATCAGAGGCAGAGTTCAGATCATGCCAGTCTTTGTAGACACAGGAGGGCTTCATTCTAAGTGAGAGGAAAATCTAGTGGAGGATTTTAAGCAGATGAATAATATAATTTAATTTGAACAGATCATTCTGTTGGCTGTGTGGGGAATTGTCGAAAGCAATTCTACATAATTTGGGGGCAAAATCATTTCACAATTAAATTTTGATTAGGCCTAGTTCTCCTGCCTACAGGCCAGCTATGGCATGTCAAGACATAACTCCATTTTTGCCCCCAATCACAGCTGAGACCTCAATGGCCCCATGATGCTGTGATACTCTAGGGCAAGATTACATCAGCTAAAGACATCCTGGCTCCTTGAGAACCGAGTAGTAAGAGAAAGGTTTCACTGGGGAGGGACAAATTCCTAATCAACTTACCTCCTCCCACCTACTATCATAAGAATGCTCTCCTTACAGCCTTCCTCAACATAAGAACCTGGCGACCCAAGATCTTCATCAGCCTAAGATCTGAATCAACACAGGACTACCACTGCCCCCTAAGCCACCTGATGCTCCCTCCAATTATTGTGTATACCCAATAAATAGTGGCCAGCTGGAAGAGACTGTCTTTGTCCACTCTGAGGCACTGACCTCCTGGCCCCCCATATCCTTTGAAATTACCCAAGTCTATATTGTCTTTTTTCTCTTTAGCCTTCGCCTTCCCCTTTTCTAAGCAGTTGGAAGACTGATCACCCTCCAACAGGGAATGGTGAGGGGACAAGTACTATAGAAAGTCTAAGCAAAATATGATGAAGGTTTTTCACAAGGAGAAATTTGAAGCATAAGAAGAAGACTTGCTTGTCCTAAAATATCTTCCCCACTCTTAAGGGAGCATTCAACACAATATTAACTATAGTCACCATGTTGTACATTAGATCTCCAGTATTCATCCTGCACAACTAAAGCTTTGCATTCTTAGACTGGTATTTTCCCATTTCCTTCACTACTCCAAGTCCCTGGTAGCTATCATTCTATGCTTTGTATTTATAAATTTGACTTTTTTGGTTCCACGTATTAGTGAGATTATGCAGTATTTTGTATTTCTGTGCCTGGCTTGTTTTCACTTATCTAATGTCCTTCCATTTCATCCATATTGTTGCAAATGACAAGATTTCCTTCATTGTGAAGGCTGAATGATATTTGTGTGTGTGTGTTTGCATGTGAGCATGACTATTTCACATTTTCTTTATCCATTTATCCACTGATGGACACTCATGTTGTTTCTGTATTTTGGCTTTTGTGAATAGTGCTACAATGAACAGGGGAGAGCAGATATCTCTTTGAGATTCTGGTTTCATTTCCTTCAGAGATGTACCCAGAAGTGGGATTGCTGGATAATGTGGTAGTTCTACTTTTTAGTTTTTGAGGAACTTTCGTGCTTTTTTCTAGAATGGCTGTACCGATGGCTTTACCAATGTATCAATCAATTTATCAATGTACAGGGGTTCCCTTTTCTCTACATCCTCACCAACACTTATCTTTTGTCTTTTGGATACGGCCATTCTAACAGGTGTGAGGTGATACCTCATTGCGGTTTGCATTTGCATTTACCTGGTGACAAGTGATGATGAGCAACTTTTCATATGCCTGAGATCCATTTGCATGACTTCAATGGAGAAATGTCTATTCATGTCCTTTCCTCATTTTTTAATCAGGTTTTTTTTTTTTTGCTTTGTTCTTTGGGTTGAGTTGAGTTCTTTCTATATTTTGGATAGTAACCCCTTACTAAATATATGGTTTGCAAATATTTTCTCCCATTCTGTCATTGTCTCTTCATTCTATTAATTGTATCCTTTTTCTGTGCAGAAGGTTTTTAGTTTGATGCAGTCCCACATTTGAGGTCATATCCAAAAAATCATTGCCCAAACCAATGTCAGGAAGATTTTCTATTTTAGTAGTTTTACAGTTTCAGGTCTTGTGTTTAAGTCTTTAATCCATTTTGAGTTGATTTTTGTATATGATATGAGATAAGAATCTAATTTTATTCTTCAGCATGTGGATATTCAGTTTTTCAAAGACCATTTATTGAAGAGATTATCCTTTCCCCAGTCTTGGCACCCTTGTCAAAGATTAGTTGACTCCATATGGGTTTATTTCTGGGCTCTCTGATCTGTTCTTTTTGTCTATATGTCTGTCTTTATGCCAGTACCATACTGTTTTGATTACCATAGCTTTGTGAACTATTTTGAAAACAGGAAATGTGATGCATCCACTTTTATTTTTCTTGTGCAAGATTGCTTTAGTTATTTGGAGTTTTTTGTGGATCCTTATGAATTTTAGACTTTATATTTCTATTTCTATGAAAATTCCACTAAAATTTTCATATGGATTGCCTGAATATGTAGATTACTTTGGGTAATATGAACACTTTAATAACATTAATTTTTCCAATCCATGAATACAAAATATCTTTCTGCTTATTTGTGTCTTTTCTTATTCTTTTTATTGCTGTTTTATGGTTTTGAGCATATTGTTCTTTCACTTTCTTGGTTAAATTTATTCCTAAGTAATTTATTTTGTGATACTAACATACATAGAGTTTCTTTGCTTAGTGTCTTTTTCATATAGTTTCCAGTTAGTGTATAAAAATATGACTAGTTTTGGTATATTAATTTTTGTATCCTGCACCTTTATTGAGTTCATTAATTATAACAGTTATAACAGGTTCTGTGAACCTCTTGTTCATTTCCCCTAAGGCACTGCCCTGAAGTATTCAAGTGTAAGTGCCTTTTCCCAATCCTGTAGAGCCCATCTCTGTCTGTGTGTGCTCATGTACAATCTGCAGACTTGGGACATCTGTGAGTGCGTATGCATGCTGCCTGCTGGGGGGAGGGGCTACACAGTGCTAGGGGTGCATGTGAGTCAGTTGGGGAGGTCCCCAGGTGGTATTTCCTATGAGATTCATGGGTGGATCTCTTAGAGAAATTTGTGAGGCAGTCAACAGAAACAATATTGTATCCCTTTGTTGAATTCTGTGCTCCAGTTACTATGAGCCTCTGCCTGTTTCCCCTGACCTTAGATGCCTCCAGATTATTCAACTGTACTAATCTCTTCAGTGATCTGGGTGGGGCAAGAAAGAAGTGGGTCCCCCATGGCTGGGGAAGCTGGGCACTTGTTAGATTCTCACTGTCCTCTATGGGAAAAATCACAGCCAAGGGGTGGGTAGGTCTTTCTTGTTGCTGAGCTGTGCCACTATAGGGAAGGGATGATGTAGGTAAAATGGAGCTTTTCTTCTTACCTTTTTCAATGTGTCTATTCTCATTTTTGTTGTTGTTGTTCCAATAGAATGCTGGGAGCTTCCATTTGACTCCTAATCTCCCACAAAGGTACATATATCCATTGATGATTGTCAATGTTTCTGCAAGGAGATAAGGACAGAAAACTCCTATTCCACCAGCTTGCTGATGTCACTCTCAAAATCTAAATTAATTTTAATATTGACTCCTAATATGTAGTAGTGTACATTTTATGTTCTCTCTCCTTCTCTCTCTGGACTGATCTGTGATAAACTGTAATTATGTGAACTTATGCAATATCCCAAGAATGAAAAGAGACATAGCATAAATTCCCCTATGAAAGATATGTATATACATATATCATCCTCTGTTCTTGGGGTTGCAAATGGAATTATCCAGACTGCCAGAGGCAAGATGGTAGAGTTAGTGATCTTGGTCACTTGTGACCTTCTCCATCTTGTGTCCCATTAACCTACCCCATTTGCCCTTATTTCCCAGATTTTCTTTTTCTCTCCTCCCCTGTTGGGGTGGCAGAGAGTCAGGCTCAAACATTTCCCAAACTATCACTGGCCTATTGCAGCCAAAAGTGCACCACTACTGCTCAGCACAGAACCCCATAGCTCTCACAGATGGCAATGGGGACTGGATGCCCATAACTCAGGCACTGCTGGCTCTGAAGAAGGGAGCATTTCCTGCCACAACCTCACAGAAAATGGGTTCCCTGTGTGTATCAATCAGTACTTACTAGAGAAACAGATTTAAAGCAAGATATACAAATATACAAGAATTTACAAGATTGGCTTACAATGGCTGCCCACAGGATCAGTAATGGAAGACTGCAAAAGGGCTGTCTGTGTGTTGGAGACCTGAAGGATCCTGTCGAAGGCCTGGAGCTCACTGAAGTGGCCCATGTGAGTCCTTATCAAGATGCCAAAGGTTCTGCGATGGAAGGCTGAAGACAACATCCAAGGTGAAGGTGAAGACTGGAGCTCCTCTGAAGAAACAGAAGTGAGCTTTCCTTCTTCATTTCCTTTTTATTCCTTTCAGGTGACAGGCCACCCTAGGGTGAGTCTTCTGTCTTCAGTAAATCCCCTCAGCCACACCCAGAACTATGCTGATCCAAGTTAGTTGGGTTTTTCTTACTCAAGTTGACACAGTCAGTTAACTATCACACCTTGGCACCTGCTCCCATGCATTACTGACTCAAATCCTAGTCTTATCCAGGTACATCTGAGTAGCTACAAAGGTTATGAGAAAGAAAAATTATGATCTTAATCTCTAAAAGGTTAACATTCATGAAAAGTTCCCTGTGTATAAGAAGGGTATTTAAAAGATACCAGGTGGTCATAGATGGGAAAAGCAGCCACCACACATACATACACAAATGGTTATCCTCTAATGATGACTGTCTTGGAGTCACTGCAGCCTTCGTCTGAGAAGCCTGCTTTGTGCTTTTCCAGTCACTTCCTTGCAGAAGCAGCTGGCCCTTGAGACACTGTCTGTGACTTGTTCCCCATGCACTTCAAATCTATGCCAAAATGCCACTAGAACTCAATGAGGCATTACTACACACCCACCAGAATGGCACAAACATACAGGGAAGGCTGACATGCCAAGTACTGTACTGGTGAAGATGTGGAAAATTAGAGCTTGAACACCACTGGTGGAAGTATAGATGAAACCACTTTGGAAAAGCTGAATTTATGTGCATTCCATGAAAGAGCAATGCCACTCTTGAAATATATATATATATATATATATATATATATATATATATGATGAGTTTTCTCTCTTGTTAAGTGGAAATAATCTTGTACTTACTTTACAAAAGTGTCCTAAGTGTCAACTAAGTTGAGTTAAAGTCCTATGAATCTGGGTAAAAGTCTAATAACTGTAAGAAGTCATGAACCGTGTCATTTATTCAGAGAGAAATCCAGCCTCAAATATTATTCCACAGCCCGACTGGCTTGCTATGACCTTTCACAAGCTGTTATTTTGTAGGTAAAAGTATTTAATACTCAAAGGAGTTGTTGAACACACATGCATGCATGCACATACACACACACACACACACACACACACACATGCATACCTGTATATACTTTTGAAGGGCCCTCAGATCAAATAGATATAATATTTTGACCCCTAATATGAGTGAATACAAAAATATAGGATCACCTATCATGTCATAAGTGACAGGATTTCACATTTTAAGGATAACTAAAATTCTATTGTGTGTAAAAACCACATTTATCCATTAATTGAAGCATAGTTTTATTCCATATCTAGATTATTATGAACAGTGGTACAGTGCACATAGAGAGAAAGTAGCTCTTTATCAAATTGATTTCATTATTTCTGGATATTCACCCAGAAGTAGGATAGATGGCTCCTATGTGTATTTCATTTTAATTTTTTTTGATTAAATTCTTTTATTGGTACATTGTAGGTATACAGCACAAATACATTTCTCATTGGGA